GTGATTTATGATATTCTCTGTTTTTTATGTATGATTGGTGTTCTTTGAGTCTTTTGTGAAATGGTCTTGAGGTTTCTCCTATATAAAATTTATTGCATTAGCAAGGAATAAATTACATTTTTTGTATTTTCAATTATATCATGAGGTTTTGTTACTGAAATTTTACTTCTAATTGTATTTTCAGTTTTGAAGATAGTCCTAATATTAAATTTTTTACCTACTCGTTTAATTTGATCTGAAAGTCCTGGAATAAATGGAATGAAAAGGTTCGTAATAGGTTTATTTTGATTTTGTTTTGTTCGTGGGAATTCAATTTCGTTAAAACATTTTTCAATAAAAGAATTTGGATATTTATTGAAATTTAGAATTTCTTTTATAAATTGTTTTTCTTTGGAAAAATTAGATTGATTACAAATTATTTTTGCTCTATCATATAGACTCTTTACGATACCTTTTTTAACCATTATCGGGTGATTTGAGTCGAAATTCAAGTATCGGTTAGTATGAGTAGGTTTTCTATAGACCAAGGTTTCGAAATTGTCTAAAATTTTCTGAATTAGTATATGGAGAAAAGGAATTTGGTGATTTTGTTCTTTTTCAATAGTGAATTTAATTGTTGGTTCTTTATTATTCAAATAAGATAAAAATTCATCAAGTTTTTGTTCGCCATGACTGTCAAACGCCACCAAATTATTGGTTTAAATTTGTAACTATTAACGAAAGTTGATTCAAAATTTCCCATAAATAAATTACTGAAAAATGGGGATAGTGGTGACTTAGTTATAGTTATATAATATATGATAGTTCTTAATTACTTTTTATAAATAATTCGTTCTTATTGCGAAATAAGGTAATAATGGTACTATTTATCAATCTGTAATAAAAGATGTGAGGAAATTCTGTCTTTTTTAAAGACAAAAATTTTTGAGACGAAATACCCAACAAGAAGTTTGTAAAAAAACCGGAACCGGAACTGAACCAAATCGGAATATATTTTCTTAACCGGAACCTAAATTTTAAATGTGGCTTTTACCTAAACCGACCGGAACAGTTATTTCGATTCGGTCCGGGTCCTTCATTTTTAAAGATACTTACCTTTTAAAAGATGTCACTTAAATCCATTGCGACACCCCCTGACATGATAGGTTATGTTCTTTGAATATAAAACTAACCTTAGGAGTTAGTTTTATATTCAAAGGTTATGTTTTCCAGTATCTGATTTGCAGTTTTGAATTGAAAATATATTACATGCTGAAAAACCGAACACATTTCCTTGATATAAAATGAGTCTGCTTAAGTTCAAAACCCCCATCGATTTAGCGGGATATACGTTAGTGGTTCCTAGTGTTTCGGTCGGTAATGTGCCCCAACTGACTGTGGACTTACTTGTTATGTCTCTGAAAATGGAAAATGTTGCCACTCTTTGGCATCCAGGACTTACAGCCTGCGTTGGTACTGATCCATTTTATTGCGATGTTACGGCTGTATCAACTGCATGTGAATTGTACATCAATAAAGAATTGAAAATAGCAACCATACAGTTAAGGTCTTCCATAGAAGCAAAATTGGTTTTAAAATTCTTAAATGACCTGATAGACTGTATTGTCCAGTTGAAATTCCAGAGAGTGTTCATATTGGGAACAGGCTTCGACTATGAACTGCATAACATCAGTAATAAGAACTTTTTATACTTTGTTACGTCCGCTGGGGACAGTGAAGAAATTAGCAAGTCAACGTCTTCAAAAGTATTGGAGCTTGACTATAATGGCAAACATACTGTACGTGGATCTGGGTTTGCTACAAAACTTTACGAGATAACAAATAATCAAGTCAATGCTACCCTTTTGATAAAATATATTTCTGAGGGCGAAAATATCCATGATGCACAACAGTTTCTCCACAAGTTGTTCCAATTTTTGGAATTCAAAGCACCAAGCGTTATTCCATTCCCCAGTTCGTGGCACTACATATATGGGGGCCCTCCGCCTGAAGGAATATTTTGATTTTGATTTTACTTGTTATTAAGGTGGTATTTTCTTAACAGAGCATCTTTATTTGTATAATTATTCAAGTACATTTGGGTCCTGGGTTGTATTATACTTGAGTAACCATTCGTCTACTTATTCAAATAGGTACATTTCTATTTTAGTTTAATTTAAATACTTAAATGCTAGAAATATGTAGGTAACCAGCACTAGCAGGAATATTAAAACAACAAACCTAAAAAATGCAATATTTATTGGCTGCAATCGCACTAATGTATATTTTCATACTTACAGTAAAATTATTATAAGCACTATTTTAAAGTCATTGTTATAGTCATCTTCATCTATCATGTTTTAGTGTATTTGCAATAAAATGGACTTAATTATTTCGTTGACTTTAAAACGCTAAATTTTATTTTGATTGACTGTTAGGTGAGTTTAATTTTTTGACAATCATAAAATCAAATAGTTTCTTACAGTATTGTTCAATATGCATGCATTAAATGCCGTATAATAATACGTTTAATGACTATACGCAGGTCAAATTTATCATCGAAACATGTTATAATCTCTACTTTTGACCATGATGAATGTGATTTTCATTTAATAAATCTGAAATATTTTATGCAGTCGTAGAAACCGAGTCGTTTTCTTGCATTTCTTCCTCATCTACTTCCTTTTCTTCTGACCCACATGTTTCATCATCCAAATCGAATGACGACTCTTCGGAAATTTCCGACAGACATCCGGGTTCGATCACTAATTTTTCATTTATATTGCTTAACATTTTCGTTAGCTTTAGTCGTATAGTTTTAGAGGTATACTGAAAATACTCAATGACAATTCAAGTTGCAGTGGCTCATAATTTTCGCAGATTTACCTCTCGAGCATCTTCTAACAGTGGCACCATTTCCCTTAAGATGCGTTGATTCTCAACTAAATCAAGCATTAAGAGCATCTTTGAAAATATGATACACATCTTATCTTGCGGAGCCTGGTTTATCTTGATGCACAATGCCAATGCTATGTTAGATTGCAACTGTGAACTCTAAATATAAAAACACGCCATTGAATCTGCAGTGTAATTTTTAAAAAGCAGAATGTCTTTGTTTTAGTACTTTGTAATCAATAAAAGCTTTACCTGACGAGACACCTTGCATAGAGCCAGCAAGAATTTCGCAATTCCATTAATGTCGACTTTTGATAGAGGGCTAGTTTGAGGTGCTCGAGCTAAAGTCTCAATGGTATTGAACACTGCCTCCTCTAATTGTTCATGGCTGCTGTTTAAATTAGGAACTTTTTCCAATACGTGTCCGATAAATTGCTGCAGAGATCGAGTTCCCAACTCTTCTAAAATTATTGCACAATTTATTTTACTATATTTTATTCTTATTCATTACAAAATTTATAATTTATGTATTCAATACAATTATATAAAGCTAATAGACGTTAAATGTCAATTTTGTAATTGCTGTTAATTAGTTTTGATATTTTAACACGGAAAATTTATATATTTTATCGAATACTGCACGAACTCCTTGCTACSGKTTTTAAACTAGTRAAATRGGATGTTAAATTACTCTGATGATTCATAAAGTAGGTATGTTAAATTTACTATCTTTATTTAATTCCTCTCTGAACGCGATAATTTATATCAAAAAATACCACAGRAACATATATTTTTTCGTTTTTACAACAGGCTGAAATCTCGTAATTRTTATTTATATTGTTTTGTTGTGCAGGGTGGGAGAGTTTATAGTAGCAGGACCTTAACGGCTGACAGAACATTCAATTTTAAAATGAAAATATCATATACGTATTGAAAACGGCTTTGTTTTTTAAATACACATATACCATGCGATATGAGCCCCAAAAAAAATATTTTTTTGTGTTTCAAAATTTGAGTGAGTTATTTAAAAAAGTTAAAATGAAACGTTACAACAGGGTGAGAAAGTGCTTGTATCAGAAAAACGAAGCGGTTTTCACTATACTTCTTAAAATAGGATTTTCTATTGACCGCGAGGGTTGTGCTACTATCAACTGACTGTAGGCAGGGTGATTCAAAATTGAATACTCATGCATTCGAAAAAAAATTCCAATCTGCCTCAAACTACGAAGATTTTTGATATTAAAAAAGTTCTCCTTTTTTGATGAAAAGTCAAAGCGGCAATGATGTTTTTTTCCATCAACAGGTAGATAGCCTTTGTCAATAATAACAATAATTTGACAAACTGTGACTTACTTCAAAGCTCCTTTCATGAATCACAAATTTGCGGTTAGTTCTGGGATACTCAGAGCACAATAATTGACACTTTCCCAAGCACCAAATAAATACCGAGGAAGGGCTACGTTCCTACCACGTTTGTACGATAGCTTACTGAGCACCGGTACAAATTGAGCAGTAGTTAACTAACTGAATACGAGAAGCTGGTCGAGAAGAGTGCATAATGTAATCATAGATGGTGATTACACAGGCATTAACTTATTTCCAGTTAAAGACTCAAATGTTTATTTATTTGTGTACACATCAATTCGAGGTTATGATAACACTGTTGACATTGCGAAAAAGTACGTTCCACAATTAACGAATCCTGTTGAATTTACCTTTTATCCATATCTATTTTTTTTT